AGCTCTCTGTGTCTCATGTTGGTTTATCCTCTTTAACAGGAAATGCAGTCTTTATAGGTTTGAACCAAGGATGAAAACTTAGACTAGTCATGCAGAGCTATTATATGTTTGGACAATCAACCTAAAAGGCAACACCTGGGCAACAAGAAACATCTGGCAGTCACATGTTCCAATAGTTTTGCTCACTTGAAAAATGGGTGGGTTCAAACAAAGGGTGATATGTCCTGAGTTGTTTAACACATCTAGATGTGAATACCATGAAATAAAAGCTGAAATTCTGAACTCTTGTCTCATACTCATGTTTTGATCTTAAACCCAAATGTCTTCAGTGAACAACAGAAACAAAGGAATTTGCCTTATTGTTCCAATACTTTTGGAGAGGACTGTATATTTAATGAAATCCTTAAGTGGCGCTGCAACTAGTAATCTTTTTCTTATTGACTTCTATCGATTGATTGTGTTTTTGATTAATCAAATGGTCTACTAGAAAATAGTGAGAAACGCCTCTCACAAAGCCTAAAGTGCAAAACTCAAAGATATTTCATTTATAATGGTATGCCAAAGAGAAAATCCTCAGATTGAAGAAGCTGGAACTAGAGAATATTTAACCCTCTTCGCTTGATAAAAGTGAATTGATTATTTCAAATTGTGAGAAGTCGTGTCTTTTGTTCTTTCAGTTTGGAAACATCAGCAAACATTACTCTGAGGAAGAATCAGAGCTGTAGCAAATTCAAAATGCCTCGTCACTGCAATTAGAAACAAAATGCCACATAATGGTTGCTGAATTCATTTAACATTTATCCAGAATCTGAAAGTGAAATGATTTAAACTAGGGGTGTGCCAAACAATTGATATAGCAATATATCGTTGTACATTTTTCCATGATACTGTATGATATTCCGGCCCATCATATCAGGGTTTTTTTGTTTGTTTTATTTAAATAGCGCTTTGACGGTTAGCTCAAGGCTGACGTATGATAGGAATCTCCATTGACATACTAACGGATATTAGCATCACAATCGCGATAATATAATCTTAACATTAACTACACATTTAGCTTCACATGCTGAACATCCAGAGTGACACATTTTGCAAATACTTAAGGTAACGTTTCCTGTGCTCTGTGTGAAATAAAAAAGAGCTGCTAACTTCACTGGCTTGATCTGCTCCACAGTGACTAGCTACAGCAACCCCAAAGGGTCAAAACACAAACTTAAAATTCCCGGGGGACTAAAAATACAGCTATCACTAGATGGAGAAAGGGCAGCATAATCAGTCAACAGTATCACTATAATGTAATGTACATAAAAGACTTAGGTGGTACACAGCAATTTGTATTTTCTGTAAATTCAGTTAATTTGATTTTTTATGCTCCTTTTGTAAAGAAATGCTTGTTATGTTAATTTTTCATAGTTGCTCTGTAGTTCCATGTGCTGCAGGATTGTGCTGTTTTCTAACAGTTTGGATTTGCAGCGAATAAATAGACCTTTTCACAGACATTTTGTATTCATAGTTAGATATTGTGATGTATCATTTTAGGATTGTCTAGCAATATATTTATCGCAGAATTGCTGTATCGTGATATTATTGGTATCGGGAGCCGTGTATCGTATCGTGAGGTATCCTGTGATTAATTTGATTGGGTGTTTTGTTTTTGTTTTTTTTACAGATAAACTGACTTGTCTCGTCTCATACACAGGCTTGTACTTTTGACTTTTTATCAAAGTTTATTATCTAATTCAGGTGCTCATCTTTGAAAATGATAATTCAACCATGAAAGTTTCATGTCTATCCAGCTGCCTAACATTACCTGTGCAGAAAAAGATCAAGACTCTCACTTTGAAAATCCTGGATGCCCAAAGTAATTCCTGCCACTTCACAACCTATAGGAAATGAAAACACTTGTACACCTGGTAACCTCTACTAAATCACAGTGTACTTTGAAAGAGAGCAGTTCCCTCGATGTGAGAGGTCAACTCTTAATGTTCAGTGGCTTTAGGGGCTCAGTATTGATTAGGTGGTCAGTCTGTTCACACCAGCTGTCCACCACCAGCTGCTCAGGAATACCGCTGTTAGAATGGAGAGAAGAGACACCTCATGCATTTGTAATAAGCCAACGTGGCGGTACAGCCTTTAGTTACATAATACATGCTGTTATTTGACATAAACCATATTGCTGCAGTTTTGCTATTGTTGTTTTTTGCTTTGGCTTTACATGAACCTCCTGCTGAGAGGGTTTCACAACCTTGTTGCCTTTTAAAATCGGTTCAAAACCAGACTGACAATAAGGGTACTTCTTGAAATTGCTGTTAAGTTGCAATTTGAGGATATAAGACTTTTATTTTAATGTAAAAAAAAAAAAACATTTTCAGGACTGCGCTCCTTCTGTTCTTGTTTCATCCAGCTGTATCAATACTCTAAATTAAACCTCCTTTCAGTGTAATCTTCAACTTCACCTCCCTTGACTGAAATTGGCAAGACTAAATACTGAGAACGGATTTTGAGTCCTGCACAGGTGTGATATTAGTTGCTTAATGATCTTGAATTAGTTTAAATCCACACGATGTGATTGGGAATACCAAAAAATGGTCTCCGGTATAGCTGCTCCACTGTACACTGCTGGATAAAATTACACCTCTTAAACATTTTTGTGGGCAGTTTGTCGAGCTTACCACCAGGTTTGAGAGGAAAATGTGTTTTTTGCGGCCGACACTGGAGTGGGGATACTAACTCAGTGGCTTTTAATGGTTGATTGACTGCCAGCACTTCCCCTTTGACAGATCCATGCAACAAATCACATGTTCACTCAGCAGCATACAGGAAGACCACAGAACGGTGTCACCAGTGAACGCTGCATACAGTAAAAGAGACACTAACTCAACACTCTAAAATATTAAGCAGAGACAATGGCGCTGATCCGTTTGAGGAGAGGACTTTCTCGAGTAATGTCAATGCATGAAGAGGATGATGTGTTTACTAGGTGCTCACCGCCTGAGGTAATATGTTCTATATTTTCAACTCCTGACTTAACTTTTAAGCTGCACCTTGCTTCAGTCTACAATTTTGCACAATAGCAGAACAGAGCATTTCTGGTAAAAAAGCTGTCTTTTACTTGGGAAGTCTAGTGCTTTGCTTGACGGTAGAACTAGCAAAGAAAGTTTCTCTGCTTTCTTTATGCTTTCTGACCAGTGGCGTTCTGGCAACTGCTGGCTTCTCAAGACTTTTCAAAAACAGGCAGAACTACAGTGAATTATGTAACATAATAAAGGTGGAGTGCATATATTATAAATGTGTGTATATATATATATTATGTATAATATATGCACTCCACCTTTATTTTGTCGTGCTGTGATACTGTATTGAATAGCACGCTTCTTTGCCTTCTCGTACTCCACTGAATAATCGATTCTCGTGGGTACCTCCAGCTGTTTGCTCAGCTCCTGCTCGTTTCATCCCTATTGATCCCCGTGCAATAAAAGCATCACAGAGCCAGTATTAGGAGGCCTTGGGGCACCGGCATTATTTATGACTCTCTCTGCCCTGTCGCTCTGCAACCAAGCAGCTTCTTTGTAATGTCAGCATGAAATAATCATGACAAGCAGCCCATTGAGTGGATCAGTCGTGCGTCAGGGTTTTGAAGATGGATGCTCTGTCATTAGAGGCAGCATGCTGTCTACACTACAGCTTGGAAATGTTGTAGTTCAACTGTAGGCAGGAACTAACTCTATGTTCACTTGTCATAGTTGTTCATAGTGTTGTAATTCATACCCACATTCACCAGCTTATTTCACTCTTTGTCACATCACATTTGGTCACCTGCCAAAATTAGCTATTAGTTACTTGGTCTGGTTTCTGCTTAACAGGAACATTTCTGCAATGTATTAGTAACTTGTTAGAGGTTGTGCTCTGTCAACAGACCGGGTCTTCCACATTATTGTTAAAAGAAAAACAGGACCTGAAATGCAATTCATATTTTTCCTGAGCCAGTACCTCTCTGTACTTCTTCTGATTCAGTCCAGATTTCAAGGAACGACACAGCGTGTATCATTTAAACACTGACAGTAAGATGGTAGCTTGCTATCAGTCTACTGAAGGCATTCATTTAGAAAATATTTGGTTAATTAAAATACTTATGAAATAACAACTATTTTGATAACCACACTATTCTTTGATTCTTTTTCAAGCAAAGTGGCAATCATTTGATGGTTCCAGCATAAAATTTGATGAGCCTTGTTCTTCATGTATGAATTCTGTTTTGGGCTGTGTGGCCATTTTAGTCCTCAAATATTGATGATGATAATAATATAATCAGGCAGAACCCACAATAAATTGAAACATTTGTAATCATGCAATTTTGATTTTCAATTCGTGAACCTGTATGTAATGAAATACTTGTATATCTTTGAGTTATTTCTGCAGGAAAGACTTTTGTAGTTGTCTTTGTTTCACAGCTGTAAGGACGAGCCTGGACAAACTGTCCTCCCAATGTTTGGGATGCATTTTGATAGTTTTACTTCCTTATTTCTACCTGACGTGAGTCCCTGCCACTCTCAGTTATATAACAACAGCACTTCCTTCCCCTGTCATCCTCCTCTGAGTTCATTCGGTGCTCTGCTCCTCTAAGGCCAACAGTGGCTGTGTCAGCTTGAACTACACTTGACACTTCAGCCGTTCCCTTTTATTCTCAAATACCACTCAGTGTCCAGCAGAAACATTGCTAGGTGATTGACTCCATGTAGAGCTCAGTAGGAACGTGGCATTAACAGTGTGGGGGTGAGGTGTTTGATGTATGCTCTGAGGGCGTTTTGTGGTGTTTTTAAATGAAAGTGTCCATCAGTTGGCAGGTGCAGTTTTTGATTTAGACTCTGAAAGCTGTGCATTTCTCACATCATGGCCCATCACTCACTGTCGATGAACTTTTCCCTGATTATATAACAGACTTACATCCACTTACAGATGACTCACAGTTCCACCTCTCTCTGTTTCTTTCTTCCCATCAGACTGTATCTTCGTCAGGCCAGGGCCGCTCCGAGTCTCCTGTCTACACCAACCTCCAGGAACTGAAGATCACCCAGACCAACCTGCCCCCTTTCCCCTCCGGCTCCCCGATCCACGTGCTCGGCGACTGGGAGACCTACAAGGACCAGAATGGCAGGCACTTCTACTATAACCGCTCCACCCAGGAGAGGACCTGGAAGCCACCCCGAGCCAGAGACACCAGCATCGGGAGCTCCAGAGGAGAGAGCCACAGCGTGGGAGAGAGCTCCGAGGTATGGATCATGTACTGAGGGTTTGCCCAAACGCACGCATACACAGTTTATTTTCACATATATCTTTATAAGGAATTTCCTGAGACAACTCACACAGTTCTGATTTGCCTTCAGCAAATAAATCAGTTAAGGTAACTTTTTGTAACAGTGATAATCAAAGGAAAACAATGGGCCTTATGCAAGAACCACTCATATGCACAGATTTGTTCTTAAGTGGCTTGCATTCACCATTTTCATGAGAAACCCTGTGCAATTAGCGTGCCGTTCCCCAACCGAAGTTTTTCGTCAATGGATTGTATATGTACGAAAAAAAAGTTAGAGAAAGTTAAGACAAGAATACAAAAACGTTCTTGCATGAGGCCCAGTGTCTCTTTATTAAACAACTGGTTGATTGCCTTGATTGATAGCAAACATGTCATTACTTAAAACTGAACATTATTTACATGTTGCGGTACAGTGAGAGGAAGTAAAACATGAGTGAAACAGTATCTTTTCTTTTTTTAAATAGCTTATACTGTTTCTTATTCTAGCATAAAAACTGAGAGCAAGTTCAGAGAATGTGTCACCCGTTATGTCAAACCTTTCAAATGTGGATACCTGATGAGCTGACATCAAAGTGTGAGGGGGGGATTGTAATGCTACAGGTAGTCGTTGGTGCAAGAGATGATGAGAAATGCTACAGAAATTAAAAGATTGCATTTACAGGTAACACACAGGTAGCCACACTTCTTGTGTGTTTAAAACCAGCTGAGTCAATGTAAATTTCACAGTTTGATCACATGTTGATCCTGATTTAAGTTGCTTCACTGAAAGTAGGGCTGCCCTAGCCTGTCATCTTCTCAGTTCATTTTTGATTTCCAAGGAGTGTTGTCAACGACCGCAGACCAAAAGTGCTTCTGGAATCAATTGGATGGATGTACAACCAATCACAGCAACCAATTGTGTCATGTAGAGTAGTTGGTAAATTAAACTTCCTGTCACAAGTACAGCAAACACATCTTTCTTACCAACAAACTCTTTGAGTGCAGTTGTTTTCTAAAAGCAGAGGATGTAGGAATTTGAGGAACGTGTGGAAAATAGTTGCAAAGTGCTTTGGCCTCTGTTATTTCACACATGAACACCTGGTCAGTCAATGCGTAAAGTGTGTTACTGTCATTTCAGCTTGGTGACTCAGATCTCCCCTCCTGTCTGAATGTCAGAGACGAGGTTTACAACAAACATTGCTTTCTGTCTGAACGGAGTATATATCAGTTATTAACTCTTTTACCCTGTGATTTAATTAATCTTAATTTTAACAAAATAAATTACAGTGAAGATCCTAGGGTGAATGAAGCCGAAATTACCTGAATTTGCAAAATTGTTTTCTGTCTAAACTCCGACAAGCACAGTCACACACACACAGTTGGATACAGTTGTGTTCAGAATAATAGCAGTCCAACCTCACTAAACAGATCAGTCACTGTTTTTGGTAGAAATTCTATTTGAACATGGCAAATACTTTACCAGTAGGTGTAATAGAGGAATAGAAAACCAACAGACCCACAGTCATGGCATGCACGCTGCTGATTCTGTGTAATTGAATCATTCATTGAAAGGGATGTGTTCAAAATAATAGTGTGGAGTTAGTGAGGTCATTCATTCTGTGAAAAAAGTCAAACAGATGGCCCTTATTTCAGGACGAAGGCAGCAAATATTGTACATGCTGGTTATAGTGCATTTCAGTCGGACAACTGGAGTAAAATGGGTCATTCAAGACATTGTTCAGAAGAACAGCGTTCTTAGATTTAAAGTTTAATTTGAGAGAAGAAAACATAAAGAAGTGCAGATAATGATAGGCAGCTCAGCTAAAATGAACACTGAATTCAAGCCGCAGTACACCATGAAGAAAGTGAAGCACGGCCGCACAAGCATCATGATACGGCGATGTTTCTCATACTATGGTGTCGGTCATGTTTATCTCTTACCAGGGATCATTCTCGTGTACAATTTATATAATAAAAGATCGATACTTGACGTTCGTGTTACGATACGATATTGCCTTGCAAAATATCGCGATACTATGCTGTATCGATTTTTTTTCCCCCCACCCCTACAAACACACCAGTAAACGAGCAACATCTTGGTTCCAGACCAGCAAGAATAATGTTATGGAGGGGCCAGCCCAATTGCCGGACCTTAATCCAGTAGAAAACTTGTAGGGTGACATCAAAAATGCTGTTTCTGAAAACCAAGAAATGCAGGGGAACTGTGCAACGTAATCCAGTCGTCCTGGGATGGAATACCTAAATCCACAGACATGAAGCAGTTTTCAGAAACAGTGGTTATACAACTAAATGCTAGTTCAGGGAATTTTTTTCATGTTTTGATTTGGAATAGAATGGGCAGTGTTCCAAATGTATTTGTGTGTATGGAAATAAAAGCTATTATAAAGGATTTACTGTACTAAATTTTTTCAACACACTGCTATTGTTTTGAACCCGACTGTATACTGAGTCATCATGAGTCAGAATGATATTAAATAGATAACAAATATGGGATGCCAGTACTTTGTCACATATTGTGACTGCCTGGTGATTAACAGTGCTGTATATGCAGACAAAGCGATGCATCTGCAAAATTGTTCTTTCAGCACTGACAGATTGTTAGAGGAGATTTTCTCAGAGAAAATGAAAGTTGTTGGGTTTTTTTTTTTTTTTTTTTTCTGACATGAAACTCGATTATACTGTGTACACCCTCGCCAGAATAACTCTCCACATCCTATTGCATTGTGGATTTATTACAGTGTACTTTTTATGATCACCTCTCTCACACAAGCACACACACACTTTGTGACATACCAGATAAGCCTGAGTCATTTGGGAGCCATCTCTGATTTTGAGTTCGCCTCTGTTTTATTAAATGGCTGTACCACACTGCCACATACAGGCAGAAAGCAGTCACTGTCACTACATTTATTCTGTGTCACACTGCAGCAGCCACTTGTAGACATACTGTCCAAAATCAAGCATGAACACTAGTAATTTGTATCTCTCTGATTGGTCTTCTGCTTCTCTATACCGTATTAAAGTGGTGGTGGGCAGTTTCTGATGATTTATTGGTTCTGGGTGCCTGTCTCCTCTCCTCTGTAACTCCATGGTGAAAGATGCCTTCTCTTTTCTCTCTCACCCTCTCTGTGTGTTGATGGTAGAACACTCCTCTCTCGCTCTCGCCATCTTTCCTTCCTTTCCTCTCACTCTCCATCGGTCGACTCCAGCCTCTGTCGTCGGAGGACACCTGCTTCAGTACCTACTCTAGCCAGTCAGACAGTCAGTATGGCTCGCCGCCGCGCGGCTGGTCGGAGGAGATGGACGAGCAAGGCCACACGCTGTACATTAGTGACTATACTAATGAGAAGGTAACGGCTGCACTGGATTGGATTGATCTGCTCTGTCTTTGCTTTGGGGATTTCTGGGAATGCATGTGGGAGCGGATTTTGGGTTGATTTGTGGTAAATGTCCCCCTATAGCGCACCACTCAAATGTTTCATCCACACTGATTAGTGTTAGTTTTAACGCCACAGAGTGAACACATTTAAAACTTACCACAGCTTTATGATCCATTTGCAATATTACATATGATGAAGAACACAAAAAATGAAGTTTGTCTGTTGCTAAGTAGGTTTTAAGTTGCATATGATTGCACAAATGCTTTGGTGTAAAGTAATGTGTCAAGATTCACAGTAATGAGTCTTATGTCTTGTCTGTGTTTGCAACACCAGTGGTTAAAACATGTTGATGACCAGGGCAGACCCTATTACTACAGTGCAGATGGTTCAAGGTCAGAATGGGAACTGCCAAAGGTAAAACTCCGTAGCAATCCTTATATTGAGAAACGTAAGCATGTGTACGGCTCAAATTTACACAAATGGGTAACACTAACATTTCTTCTTCTATACCCCAAAATAATGTGATGTGAAAGTTCCCACAGCCCCTTCTTCAATTTCCTTTTTTTCCGACGGTCAGTCCAAAAACACAAAGAGACAATTGACATCGAAACAAAACGAGACGATTAAGAAAAGCCCTCACATTGTAAAAGCTGCAAACCAGTGAATGTTTGCGTTTTCACTTGGTAAATTACTGAAATTATCAGTTGACAGTTAAGAAAACCTATTTAGTTAGTTAAATTAGTATTAGTACTAAAATGCAATATTCTGAAGATGAAGCGCACAGTCCCTGCACTGTAGTGAGATACTGTTGTGTGATTATTCCCTTTTAGCACAGGTGTTTGAATAGCTGGCGTTGTTTCAGTAGATAAGTCGTATTCACAGATTTCTGTTAATGGGGATGCTGTGCTTATAACTTAATAAGATAAATGTTAAGCAATAAGATCATGTTTACTTTTGGCAGAATCAGCTACACATATTCAGTTATAACTGAGTGAAAGTACGTGTTATATTTAGGTGAAACGTGTATATATTTTCATTCGGTAAAATTAAAAGTATATTGACGCAGTAAAATTCAATGTTCACTCTCTCCAGTACAACCTCTCCCCCCCCAAACCGTCTGGAGACGCTCCAAAGAGTCGCAGTCTGGACAGGAAACACGTGGATCCCATCGTCCTGACCAAGTGGAGACACAGCGCCTACGTCCACGATCCCATTGACAAGGTCTGACACCTAAATCTGCAAACAGTAGACTTACAACCACGTCTGCTGTTAACTCTTTTTTACCGCTAGCAAAAGAAATCGCCGGTGAAAATTTCCACAGCGTGCACAAGAACGTTTTAATAGTTTTATAATCCATTTCTTTAACACCTACCAGTTGTGCTTCATGTTATCTGTGTATTGACTTCAAAGCCTACTGTACAGAATTAGTGTGCTGCAGATGGAGCTGTTATATGATGTGTTCACTGGTAAGTCAGAGTTTCAGATGTAGACTGGTTGCTTTGCAGTGGCTGTTAAAAACCAGGCGTTTCCGCACAGGCTCTGCCCGCCTACACCCGTACAAACACCAAGTCAGTAGTCTGTCGGACCGACCAATCAGAGCCTCCTCTCTAAATCCAAGCAGACAATCAGCTTGCATGATAATAATCTGATAAGAGGAGTAATAATTACATCCCCCATCTTCATGTCAACTTCACCTGTTTTCACCTGATTCCCTGAGTTGATTGAGCCTGTTCATTTAAATCAAGCTACCACAAATCTGAACATTCAATCTTGAACTTGATGAACTTCTTGTATTTGAGGGTTTGGCCACAACCATTCAGAAATTAATTCTCTTTATAATTCTGAAGATGAAGTAATTTGTGGTAGTAGCGTGGGCACTATGGTAAATACCTGCCTCCACATCGAATTAATAATCCATTGGTGCCTCCTGGACTCGACACACTTTACAGCATTATAATCTCACTGCTAATTGCCATCACACTCTTTTAGCTGTCTGTCTTCTTAACCTCTCATCATCTTCTCGTTAACCTGTTGTTAGCCGATGTGACAGTGTGTTTTTTCATTCATGTCTCCTCACTAGGACGCTCCTCCGGGCCCCAAGCCCCCCTCTCCTGACACTGACTCCTGCCCTCCGTCTCCTAAGCCCCCTTCCTCTGTTAGTAATTACCCCTCACTTCAATGCGTCTCCTCGCCACCCACTAGGGACTGTCCTGCAGGGGTTTAACTTGGCCCCTGGTTGCAGTGGCACATGCACTATTGCAGGGTTTCTACACGGGTATGAAAAATAAAGTGGTTGCGTTCCAGTATACAATTACCTCACATATTCTGATGTTTGTTGCAGTAAAGATAAAGAATAAAGAAAGTAAATTAGATCCCGAGCCTGTGTAGAATCCCTGTTAATAAGCAGTGCTGATGGGTAACGTTGCCTGAGAAATAGCTCGGACTCGTTAGAATCACAACAGAGCTATTTTTTTTTTTTTTTTTGCCAACAAACGTTTGGATTAATTGTTGGGTGTGTTGCTGGGTGCACTGATGGTCTGTGTTGCCCCAAAAATTCCCCTGTGTTTCAAAATCTGAAACAAAAGGCCATCGGCTAAATGCTGCACAAGTAGTTTTACCTTTTAGCTTCTCCAATTTATTTTAATCTGATGTCTGTGTGAATTTTACAGTGTTTAGTCACTTGTCTTCTAAGAGTGGGAATAATGAAAGCTGTGTTGTTCTGGTGGCGGGGTATTTGTGCTGGTGGTGGTGTTTTTATAATGGAGTGATGATGTTTTTAGTTTTTACAGCAGCTTTCTCTCCTGTCTTCCTGCTGTGGTTAGTTAAAGTGATTGATGATGTAATGTAATCTGCTTCTTCAGACTAAGTCCTGAAGTGTTTTTTTTTCTCTCCAGCCTTCTGAAAGATGTGGCATTCTGAATGTGACAAAGATCACAGAGTACGGCAAGAAAGTACGGTGAGTAGCACCAAAACTAGACCAATGCTGAGTGACATTACAGTATTGTGCATTTGTGTGATGGTTTTAAATGAACCTTGTGACCTCAAGTAACACTATGGAGCAATGCCTTTTTGAGTGGATCCCTGCATTGTTTGTATCTTATGCACATACAAGGACTAACATGAGCACACGAGCGACGCAGTACAGTCCTGCTGTTTCATGCTACTCTACAGATCAGTTGGTGGTGGTAACCTATCAATAAAGCCAAGGAAAAAGAAGCGTATAAGATAGTAAACATAGATGGAAACACTGCAAGTTTTAAATGATTCAAAACGTCACATTTGCAAATGTTTTATGAGGAAGGAAATACATTAAACATGTTTGGCCTCAAGGATAAACACAACATGGAATGTAAACACAACTTTTGTTTGTTTAGAGCAAAACTCCACAGGGCAAGTTCAAAATGTATTTGTTAGTGTCTGCATTTACACTCTAATTATAAGAGAAGGAGAAGAAGAAGAAGAAAAGGAAGAAGAACAAAGCATTAATGCCAAGCCAATATTGTTCCATGATGAGTCTGTCTCTTACTTTTACACTGCATAAATATCTCCTTTTACCAAATACAAAATATACAAAACAAGTACTAATTTATTATGCAGTAATTTTGCCTGTGCAAATTATTTAAACTAGGAAAGTAAACAAGAAACTTAAGAACCTGCCCAAGATTACTAAGTCTACTATTTTTACTTACAGGACTTAACGAGACTTAGACATGTCACAATTGTGTTTTTGCACTAATGCTGAGTAGTTATTCTGGAAGGTCTCTGTAGATTTACCTTCAGTACCTCAGAGTGTTTATGAACCTTATCTGTTGCAGGAAGAACTGGACTTCTTCCTGGACTGTGCTCCAAGGATCCACGTTGCTGTTTGCCAAAGGCCAAGGAGGCGGGACGAGTTGGGTTAGTGACAGAAACCTCTTCCTGAGGTTGTTTCATGTCAGCTCGGCAGATCCCATCTAGACTAAAGCACATAGCACTGTTTCTTTCTTCATCCTTTGATTAGAGGTTGAGGAACAGTCTGTCGTCCCTGTGCTGTGCTGCTCTTTTACATTGAAGAAATTCCTAGAACAGCGTGTTTAAGACTGATTAAGGAAATAAGCCTGATTGTTTTAACCAGTCAAGATGACGTTCTTGACAAGATGTACAGCTGTGCCTTTTTAATTCGGCAGGGTTTAATTTGTATGCCCACTTGCTATGCTTTGCCAATACAGTGCTTAGAACTGCCAGTGGATGGGCATTGGGGTTAAAGTTTCTCTCTTCTAGATGTTTCATTGTCCTTCTCTTTCCATGCCTCCATCTCTTTACCTTTGGCTTCATCTCCCCATTCTTCCTTGTCTACATCCCCTCCCATCCTTCCATGCAGCCATACTACCACAGTGGCTCCTTCCCTGAATTTCTCCTGTCACTGTTGAGTAACTGGAGACGGTCTGCTAAGAAACGTCCTGCTGTCTCCTATGGCTGCTCTGGGCTCGGCAGAGCCTCCTCTGTATGTGCCTCCTCCTTCCTTTTGTGGGCTTCTCTCTCCTCCTCTGCATGTCACCTCCCTCCTGTCTGCCATGCTCTGACCCCAACCCCTCTCTGTGTTTAGTCACTGGCATGGGGCAAAGATTGGACAATATTACAGTGTCATTACTTGCAAAAATCGTTTTACTCTGTGGCATTGTTATTTTACATTACAGGCAGTTAGGTAACGGTACTTTTTATGGAGATGATGATGAGGTCTGTAGAGGTGTCATTCTTTCTGATCGCTTAGACAGGCCATGACACTAATGCAGGATTACTCAGTTTGTAGTTGCATGTATGTTGGCTAATGCATCAAAACTCAACAGACTCCCTTGCTTATGTGAAACTCACGTTTCTGCAATGAAAGGGCTCTCAGGGTGGAATAGTTGCAGCGTTTGTTTGTGTCAATTTTGATAATTTAAATCCAGCATGTATACCATACTCTTTCAGAAAGAGGGATCCTCAATGGAACCTTTCACATTAATCCAGAATTATCCCTTTACATATGCATGTCTTTTACTTAGTTTTGATTTATCATCCTTTTGGCTCCTTTCCTTTTGCGTCTGTGGCAGACACATACAACAATAACAACAACACAATACACTACAGTTAAGGACAAATCTCAAACAGCTGAGTGCTTCACAACAACATCGCAAAACAATTAACAATCCAGTACAACAAAATGCAATTATCATGTCACAATGATTTGTTTACCAGAGCTATCCTGGAGGTTAGAGCAGTTGAGCAGAAAGATAAAATCTGTACGTGTCCTCCATTATCAAAATAGCATATTTTTGTCTCACCTACAAAAATTGTTAAATGGTGTGTTTGTGTTAATCTGCTTTCTCTGTCTGTCCAGTTTGGAGGCGGTCAGTCCAAACCAGAGTTTACTGTGGATCTGAGGGGCGGCTCGGTGGAATGGGCATCCAAGGACAAGTCCAGCAAGAAGCACGTTATAGAGGTGGGAGAGAGCTCAGAGTGAGGTTATGTCCTTTCTCAGACTAAAATAAAGCACTGAAAAGTCTCAAATACAAACAAAAAAATCCTTCAGGTGTAGTTTTAGACATATTTCCCCGTTGGTACACGTGTACTCCTTTCCTAGATTAGAGCAGTTAAATTCCCTTACACTAAATATTAATGTCTTCGTATAAAAACGACACTTTCCAGCATACTTCATATACATTTTATTAATTGATGAACCATCAGACTAACTTAGGACATATGAGAGAAAACAAACAATAAAGACAGTTTACATAGGCGGTGGTTGGAATTGATTACTTTGTGTCTCTCTCCTGGTTGCAGCTGAAGACTCGGCAGGGCACAGAGCTGCTGATCCAGTCAGACAACGAAGGCACAGCCACTGAGTGGTTCCGCGCGCTGCAGGACACCATCAGCACCCATGTGAGGACCAACACACTTCACCCAGTCCCAAAATGTCTGCCTCTGCCAGAGTAGCCAGATTGGACTGACAAAAAGTACCCCAGTCAGAGCCTAGAGCTGAAAACCCGCCCAGTCTTAGAAGTAGCCCGATGTTCTGAACTCAGTGCCCTGTCAATATCAATCATACTACCCGGAGGACAGCAGAGCTAGATTTATTGCAATACGGCTGGACATTTGGTTGGATGAAACCCCCTGAACTACAAGAAGTAGCCCAAATGATCACAACCCACCCAAAACAATTTTATCTGCCAAATTATCATAGAAAAAGTAGCCTGGCAACACTGGTCTGCTTCAACTGAGAACAGTAGTTCAGAATCATGAATACAGCCCACAGTGAGATAGGTTGGGTGCGGGGTATAAGATTGTGCCAGGTTGTTGAAAAGAGAAACAGAGTGGTCACTGCTCACTTTTGATGAAAATACATACTGTATTTGAAGTCAGATGTCCTTTAACTCTCCATCTAAACACTAGTTGCTCATTTTATCCTCTCTGTATCCTCAAACTGAGAAGATAAATAGTGATAAATACAATATGCTCTACAAATATTTGGTGTTTTCAGGATAATAAAGAGGGAATGTTGGACATTGAATCAATGGTTATGTTTTGTTTGTTTCTTAAATGCTAGACACCCTGTCACTGTGAATATGAAGACTAAATTGAAACAGAAAAACTCTGCAAAAATGAGAATAGTTTGAAAAATAACCCTGGAAGTTAAGATGTCATTTGTTTTAAGGTCAACTCACTCATATCCATGTGGCTTCACTTGTAATCAACATATCAAGTTTGTTGTTTTTCTGCTCTGAGAGTCCAAAGGTAGCAGCAGGTAGTCGTTTTAACAACCAGTATCTTTTTTTCTGTGTGTGTGTCTCAGGCCTGGGAGTCTGATGAGGCCATTGAAGAGGACATGCCGGAATCGCCTGGTGCAGAGAAACATGACAAAGAGAAGGAACACAGAGATTCAAAGAAAGGCAGAGGTCTGTGTGGTGTTCAGTGGTATCAAACTGATATATGAACACAAACCATGTTTGCGGAATTTAAAAAGTAAAGTAAAATGTTGGTTAAACTGATAATAAATCACCAAAAGTCAAAAGATTTAGGAGTTGAATGAAGTGGAGGAAAGCAAATGATAGCAGGGCAAATACATGGGCACAGACACGATACAAGACTAAAAATGAAAGTACGAAGTTTCTGTTTGGCTCTGAGCCGCATGTGTCAAACTTGCCCTATAAAACATTTGCTTATCAGTTTAATCCCCTCAAAGCATCGATCGGCCGTCATGGCGATCAGTGTGTTAAGACGAGTGGTGGACAACACTTTCCTGTCCCATCTCTCCACTGCAGCCTTGAAGACCTCCGTCAGCACGGACTGCTCCGACAACAAGAAGACCAAACACAAGCTGAAGAAGTTCCTGACCCGCCGTCCCACCCTGCAGGCCGTCAGAGACAAGGGATACATCAAAGGTACCAGAGAGCGGCGAGATCCACTTAGAAACACAAACTGCACGTTGTGAAAAGGCTCAGTGTTCCCACTTTTCTTAGGATTCCTGGGATAATATGGAATCCAAAACAGTATTACAGGACAGCAACAGTTAATCTAACAAACTGGCAACCATAATTTGATTCCTTTTCTGTCTGTCTGTGTTTTGGATATATCAATTGTGTCTTGACATTTATCATACACCAAACATACCAAAACTGTACAAATAAATTGGATTAACTTTTTATATACTATTAATAATATAATACAATTTTTTTATTTATTTAATGATTTAATTTAATGTTAATGTTTGCTCTCAGGAATCAGGAAAAGTTCGATTGACTTTGTCGTATAATTAAAGTCATTCATGATGAGCCCACAGAAAGAAAATATTTCTTTTATCTCTAATAGAAAGCAACGAGGCACAGGCAGGCTGGTTTCACCGGCCACTGTAAAGATCTGAGCGTCGATAAAACATACTGCAACAAAACAAGGACCTTGGACTGTGTTTGTGTGACTGTGGATTTGTCTCTGTCTTCAGATCAGGTGTTCGGCTGCAGTCTGTCCAGTTTGTGTAGCAAGGAGAACAGCACAGTGCCGGGCTTCGTCAAGATGTGTATCGACCACGTGGAGAACAATGGTGGGTTCAGATATGTGTCACTGAGTTCAAAGGAAACTAGTTTCTATTAATCTTCCTGTAGTAAAAGAAGGGTGGGGTTTTCTGCCTCATAGGTAGCAAGCAAATGAAAACAAACACTGGGATAAGCTTCTGATATCACATAACTGATGTCAGTGTTTTCCTCTGATGATCCCCCTGCAGGTTTGAGTGTAGACGGGCTGTACAGAGTAAGCGGGAACCTGGCTGTCATACAAAAACTACGCTTTGCTGTCAATCACGGTAAGGTACTGCTTTCTGGAACAGCTTCTCTTCGCAGTAATGTTAAAATACTGAAAGCTTATTAAGAAGTATTCTGACTTGAATTTCTGGTCTTTTTGGTCCCGTAAGATTTTATGTCTGTGGATAGCACTCTGACTAAAGGGTTTGTGTGTGTTCCCAGATGAGAAGGTGAACCTGGCAGACGGGAAGTGGGAGGACATCCACGTGACCTCCGGAGCTTTAAAGATGTACTTCAGAGAGCTGCCGGAGCCCCTCTTCACCTACACTTACTTCAACGACTTTGTCAACGCCATCAGTACGTTGTTCCAGAAGTATCTGCAATTCATTCATGCAGCAGCTCTCAGTCTGAAGTGAACGGATTTGTAACTGCAAAACCCCCAATCATAATTCTGTCAAGATTGACGGTCCTCAGCTCAGTATGTCCCTCCCCAAGGAGCTCCTCATGGAGAGAATTTGTTGAACTTACTTGCGGTATTCAAACACAATGCAGGAAGATGTTAATAGTGAAACATTTGATTTAAATTTTTATTCTATTTTATTGTCCAATTAAAATTTAATGACATTATTACCCATTGCATTAGTAAAACACTATAAGATGGTAGTTGGGCTGAAAGGATTTAAAGTCCCCCTCCAGTTTATTTTGACATTTCTATTATATTTCCTCACAGTGTTGATATCGTCAAATATTTTTTCACAAATAGCTTAATTTTGTGCTCAAAGTTTCTTAGTTGTTAAAACGGGGTTGTGACGTATGACTATAGTAATTCGATAAGTCGTACGTCATTCTCCAAGCTTGCGCAGGCGCCCTGTCATGCCTCGTAAAACAACTGTCGAGCCTCGTTAAGTCAGAGCATCAAACCGATAAACATTGTTGTGAGCTAGCTAACCAATCATTATCATGTCATTTCCTCCTCTTGGTTTAGGGTGCTGTTCATTTTCATTATGGCATCTGTGAGTGCGGTGTTGAAGGACAGATGACAGAAAACGTGTCACACTTTCACCTGCCGCCGTCTTATACACAGTCTGCAACATGCATTTTACTGACTGACGTTTTACCAGTGCATCGGCGGAGGGAATGGTATCAGACGTTTTCACATACAGTTCAACAGAGTAATAGACCCCCCACACCCCCGCGGTAAAGTAAGCGCACCATGAAACGTATTGGGAGTTATGGTGTGCAGTGCGTGACAGGACCATCGACTGTATGATTGATAACAGCTGATACTCGCATATTAGTTTCTGTCATGGGTAAGTAATAGCTACTCCTGCCAGACAGTAAGGTGTAGTGACGTTAACACAGCATATCGTTAGCGAAACTCTCCTGCCGGTCAGTTTTTCGTTGTCATGGTAATAGATTACGTCCGACTATTAACCACACCCCTATTCTCTGTTTGAAAAAGAACGTTAACCAAAAACGGCAGTTAAAACTGGCTGGAGGGGGGCTTTAAATATAAAGGCAACTAACTCTATGGTGGCTCAGATTGTTTACTGTTTGATTGTTTCTGTTCTGCAGAGAGTCCAGACTACAAGCAACGAGTTCAGTCCATCAAAGAGCTGGTCCGACAGCTGCCCAAGCCCAACCACGACACCATGCAGGCTCTCTTCAAACACCTCAGGAAGTAAGAGAAACACTGTTTTTTATTGATTTCTACTTCTCCCCAGAACAGAGGTTAAACCATAAGTATTTTATTACAGAATCACAACGACTAGGCGCCACTCCCTACACATGAAAACAGTGTGTTTCATATACAGAGATTCAAAACTGCATTAACCAACACAAATATTTTAGATTGATCTGTTAATTACCAGATTGTTTGGTCTACAATATGTCAGAAAATGGTGAGAAATGCCCATCAAATGTACCGGAGCTCATGGGGTCGTCTGTATACGCCTGGTTTTGTTCAGCCTACAGTCCAAAACTCAAAGATATTTAATTTACATTCATATAAATTGAGGAAAGCAACAACTTTTTATATCTGAATGTTTCGGCACTTTTAATTGATAAGTGACTTTTAAATGATTCATTGACTATCAGAATTGTTGTTTTTTGTTTACAGAGCGAATAATTTGACGAGAGATACAGAGATTGAAATGTATTTTTATTTACCTATAAATTATCCTTTTCTACATATTTAGTGATATTTAACCAGGGACTATAATTACAGCCTTGCAGGGGACAAGTACTGAGACTGACATAAATAGAGGGTCATCCACATGGTCCATTCCAGCAAGTGGTCTATTTAGTTTACACCATTTGTCTGTCAAAGTTTCTCTCTACTTATTACTCTGTGTGTAGTGTTTTTTAGATTCTGCTGCGCATTATACATTATAATGCATTACAGACCTGATTCTACACGTAAAACATTATTGACTATTTCTATGAGGGAAAAAAATCTATTGACTGATAAATAATGTTCTTGTCAGGGTTTATTTCCACTTCACCGGCCTGTAGAGTGTTAATATTTGACTCTACAATATTTAACTCTCTCTTGTTCCTCCAGGGTGATCGACCACGGCGAGGAAAACCGTATGACCACCCAGAGCGTGGCCATCGTGTTCGGCCCCACACTGCTGCGGCCTGAAACGGAGACCTTCAACATGGCCATCCACATGGTCTACCAGAACCAGATAGTGGAACTAATACTGCTGGAGTACGAGAACATTTTCGGCAGGTAGAACTAGACGCCGGAGGATGAGCCTCTGTTTCTTTTTCCCCCCCTCTCTCTCTTTCTGTCCCCCAACGCAGAGCTCTTCCTAACCCAGCATGGCCCTGCCAAAAACAGCCGTGCCTGGCTTGGCCCGGTCCAAATCCGGCCCTGGGCAGCTTCTCTTCTCATCTCAAAAATAACCTGCGGTCGCCAGCTTACAGCCTCCGGACCAAAGCCACACAAGCATGTTGTGAACCAAAACATAGCAAACTAGTGACCAAAAAGTTTAGACTCTTTGCACTTTTCAGTATCTTATTTTCTCCTGCAGCTGCATTTGTGCCACTTTACTGCAAAGGTGATGTCCTCCTGTCCCAACACTGGATTCCTAAAACTACTTACATGGGCCAAACAAGCCTCTAACTACTGCACAGACTGACTGAGACCAAAGGAGCCGCCTAGGAATGAGCCTCAGTAGCCTCTATTACAGAGGAGGAGTCAGTATTGGAGCTGGAGGTGCACCCTGTATGTACTGTACTGTATATCCTATGACGTGTATAGGCTCCTGTATAGACCACACTGGGGAACCAACAGAAGACACCAAACTGCTGTACTTGGCCTTAGATGTTTAGACACTAAGAAACAGAGTTAGAACAAGGAGAAGAAGGGATGATTTGGAGGTTTTTTTATTTAGGGACTATATGTTAAAGAACATTTTCTGCCCTTTCCTTTCATTTACATTTTCTTTATTTTATTATGTTTTTCCCCTTCTAACGCTTTCCATCACTCTGAATCTGTTTCTCCCTTACTTTTTTCCCCCATGCTGAAATACTGGACCGGGGTCGTCTGAACACATAAGAGGTTAACACTCTGTAATATATATCTGCACCTTCTCCATTTGGCTTTAAGAACAAATCCTCTTACAGTAGTCAGAACATCAACTTGAAAAAAAAAAACCATAACAAAAGGTACTTAAGCTGTGTCTTTCCTTGACTCGTGGATATTAAATGTTCAGGCGAACAGCCTTTGAACGTGACTCCATTGATACATCTGTACAGTGTTAATGTGTATGTATGTGGATGGAGGGGGTGGATGTATGAATGGATTTCATGACAATATATATTGTACAAAAAGTAAATACAAGTATGTATGCCTGGAGTGTTAAATACATGATATGAGGGAGAAATCACTATTTTGTGATCATTGTGTAACCAACAGATGTGAGGAGTAGAGTTCTGCAATGGTGATGTGGAGGTTTACCTGTGTGTTAGGTAACTGGAAGATTGTGAATGTAGCTTTGGAGAGTAACTGTTGGCTTTATCAAACTGGAATAAAGACCTCTAACAAGAGATATTCCAAAGGAGATATTCTTTATGTTGTTTTTCTTATACCTATGGTATTCATTCATTTAGTGTCCACTTGTGCTACATGTGTGGAGTGTGAAGATCAAGGCAGTGACACTGCCAGAATTAGAAGTTTGATGCTAAAATGTCCAGTATGAAAGTTTTAAAACCCATCCTCGCCAGGGTCATTTCAAAAAACAGAAAGGTTAGAACTAATATAAAGAAAAGTAGAATAATGAGCCACCAAGTCAAAATATACTGAATGAATAATGAAAACGTACTTTGAGACGCCAAAGCCAACATTTTTAGACGAAAAGTTTCAGAACTGACTAACAATTAACATACTCTGTTGCAATTGTACTTGCAAATCAAAATGTTGAGTAACATATTGACTTTATGTTTAATAAATTTGACCTAACATCTCTTATTTGAATTTCCATGCTGTAACTTTGTTTTTGACATTGTATATCATTATGCATGTTCTATGATTTATTTATTTAAAAATTCTCACCCTGACAGGTATATATATGTGCCACAGAAACATGGATATAATTAGCAGGAATGTGAAGAACGTGTAGTAATGTGTGAAGCAACAGCAGTAAATATAATATTTCAATGGGGTGTCGGTGCTCTGTGGCAGCTCTACAACACTATGGCTACAATTTACTTTGACATAGCTTGGGGGTAGAGCTTAACTTTTATGCCTATCTTGATGTTGTCCAAGGCTAAAACTGGCCAAATGAATAGACCTTTTTAACAGGAGATATTTTGACTTGCCATATCAGGAAAAGAGTAACTAATAACATAACGTTGGCTCTTCTCCATTTGGGTGTTGCACAGTGCGCAAGCGTGCACAGCGGGGTCCTGGATCTGGTACCTAACTGGAATGCGGCCTTAGTTAATGCTATTAAATATCACTGATATTTTCCCGCTAATGAGCTACACCTATGAAAGTGTCCTCTGAGCCACAGAATAAAGAGGCCTTGAGGAGAGAAGGGCAGAGAACGATGAACTGCTGTGCCTCACCACCTCATCCTTGAAGGGAGGAAGATGAGCACATTTGTCTTTTAATTTAAATGGTTTGATCAAGGAGCAGTGGATGTGTGTTGTCTGGTGGCTGAATTTTGCCTATAAAGATGCAGTGGTGGAAGAATTTTCACATCTTTTATTCAAGTAAAAGCAGATATAACAAAGTCTTAAGTAAAAGTATTAGCATCGAAATATATACAAAAGTAAAAGTAGTTTTTGCAAAATGATTCACTTCAGATAATTAGTGATACATTACTGTGTAACGGTACTTCATTTTAATGTTGCAGCTGGTAAAGGTGGGGCTATTTTAATTGCTTTATATACTGCTGGTGCTAAGTAACTAGTAACAAAATTTATAAAATAAATGTAGTTGAGTAAACGGTAAAGTGCCTCCAATATGACTCATATCATCACCACCAGTGTTTACAGTTTAGACTTAGGAAAGAAGCCAGTCCATATGTAAAAACAGCATTAAGTAGGAAAACCACAATAAATCGGAGATGTCTCCAGTAGGCCAAAAATATGGCTAATAATCATCTTACTGTTTGAGGGTAGCTCAGTTTGCTAAAGCCATTAGTTTGGGTGTGTTAAGTTAACCGGTTAACCACATTAACATTAGCTAACTAAACAAAGTTTGAGGACTAAAACCGGATCCAGATGAAACCATGGTATCCTATGACGTGACTTCTTTGTTCACCTGCATCCCCACCATAGAGGCAGTAGAAACCGTAAGGAAACGGCTAACACAAGACAACACCCTGGACAGCAGAACTAGCCTCAGCCCTGACCAGACCTGTAAATTACTCGACCACCAACGGTGGATTCTACAGACAGAAGCATGGCTGTGCAATGGGCTCACCAGTGTCACTCATTGTGGCAAACATCTAGGGCTTTGTTCTCTAGAAGTGGAGAACAAAGCCTTCAGCTGAGTTTCCCTGCCAGTCAGTCAGAACTGAAGAAGTCCTTTGGATGAGGGACGAAACGTCTTCCAGTATCTTCAACCAAGTCCAGTTGCCCTTGACTTTAACCTTTGTTGGATAACTACACATGACATTGGTAACTGTTATAAATTTTTCCCGCCATGGTCTGTGAATCCAAGCTAGGTAGCTTAACTGTTAGCTAGGTTACCTGCAACTCCCTTCCTTCAAGAAGCAAAGGACAAACCTTTCAGAGACACTTTCCAACGCTGCAGAGGGTGACTATTGGATTATAATTAAATGTTTAAAATTAACTGAACAACAAAGTTGATACAATTTTGATCCATACTAACAATTCAACCTTGTAGCGAAAAAGATGAAATGACTGATAAAAAATATTTTATTATTAAAATACCAAGTGAACATATTTAAGGTTTTTATCTCAATGAGCAATGAATTAACGTTAACATTATACATTCAGGTGCCAATTAATTAGGTACACCTAGCTGGCTAACCTTAATGGTAACAGTCCAGCAAGTCCTACATTCATGACAGCTTTACTGAAATGTTCAGTTTTATTTAAAGTTTAGGTTGTATTTTGGAGACTGTAGTTTGTGGTGTTATTTAATTGTATTGCATTTTAATAAGATATATGTTGTCCACTTGTCCATCTATGTTAAAGTGTTTTAAAATCTAAATGTTTTGACTTAAGTAATGTTTTTTACTTTGTAAAAATGATCAGGGGCTAGATGTGGAGTAAGCTTGGAGTAAGGCAAAATGAAAAATTTGGCATTTCTATCTTGCCAGCAAAAGCAAATGTAGTAGTGTCTGAAGTCCAGGGAATGTTCAATATAGTTATCAGTTAAAGCTAAATTCACATTATGATTAGAATCCAATTGTGTAATTTTGATTAGGTTGAACTAGTCTCCTTCGCAATGATGATAGAAAACGTCATGGCTACATTTCATCCTAATTAACGCAATGCAGATGAAAAACAGGAAAAGTAAAAAACAGGTGAGCAAAGAGTTAAACTTTTTACGGCTTTATATAAAGAGAAAGCTGCATTGTGGAACACATTTCAAAGGATGATTACAATCAGAAATGACATTAAGGCAAAGGACAAAGTCAAACTTTGCAATGCAGATGCTCAAAAAACTAGTAGGACTGTGGCACATCAATTTCAGGTGAGATCTTTGATGTCTGGTCTGGGTTAAACCTTGATAATGGATTCTTTTATCTGAGATTTCCAAGTGTAAGAAGGAAAACGCAAAGCATTCGGCTAAGGGGGCAAAGGTTTTCTTTCATTCTACTGTGGAAATATCTCCTATTTTGGAGAAATTGCCAACATTTTGACTTTCCTTCCTGCTGTTTTTTGGCCTCTGATTTTACATCTGATTGCTCCAGTGCTTCAGATCCACAGAAAAAGAAAAATGGGCCCTTCAAGAAATGCATATTTTCTATCTAAGCATTCACTATCCAACATGCTGATTAGTTTTACAGTCTAAAACCTCTAAACAACAATATCTGGGGGGGGGGGTATTACAGAGAAAAGCCAAAGCTGCAGACTTCCTCAACTGTACAACAGCAGTCACACCTCTCATCACAGCACTCAGGGATGCAGACATGTGTGAAATAACATGTAGAGATCAGACAGATCCACGCAGCTCAGAAACTCTGACGTTACTGATATGACATGATGTGGAGGCTACTACAGATGTATGATTCAGAAGCTTTTCATGTCAGGAACCCTGCTTCAGACTGATCAACCTTTGATAAGATATTTTGCCCAGACCCACCTACTGAGAAGATTTTTGTTAGATGCAACTAATCTATATGCAGCAGGGATTATCAACAGAGTAGTCTTAGTAGTCTGACAGCAAGCTACCCACTAAGGAAAAAAGGATTTATAATGATCATAACGGTGATTGATGTTGTCGCCCCCCTCTGTTCTCAGTAGCAGGTTGGAAGATGTATGTTCACACTGTAATCAATGTGAGTTTTTTGATGTTTGAAATTATCAGAAGCAGAAGTAGAGCATTTTTAGTTTCCTTAATAAGCTCCCACCAGGTCCTGGCCCATCAAAGAGGCCTAATAATAAATATCCATACAGACAGGGTGTTACATACAAGTTGTATTGGTGTTATACATATATATATATACATATATATATATATATATATATATCCAGATATAGAGCAGGTACTTTGCGAGCACACAAAAAGGTCACAAACATTTCACCTTTTCATCCCTTCAGAATTTGCATTTACACAGGCTGAAGTCTAATGGATCATCAGCCTGCAGTCTGAAGTGGCTTAAAAACATTGTGACCAAAGTGTCGCTGTCCGAGGTGCTGATTTCATATATGTGTGTGTGTATACACAGCAGAGGTGTAAAGTAACGAAGTACAAATACTCTGTTACTGTACTTACGTAGTTTCGGGATTTGTACTTTGATGGAGTATTTCAAGCTGTTGCAACTTTTACTTTCACTTCGCTACATTTCTAAGCCAAATAACGACTTGTCTTCCACAACAACAAACCAGAGACACTGGCATACGCAGAGGTATTAAACAAGTCACTGTGGCGCAGAGCTGGACTTCCATGCCTCACTCTCATGCAACCCTTTGATGAGAGGATAAAGAAGGACTATCCTTTTGTGTACAAGAAGAGAAAAACTTGTTGACAGCACAGCAGTCAGGTAAACTTGTGGTCTCTCCTCTCAAAGTCTGATGACGGGCAGACAGTGGGTGATGTGGATGCACATCTCTCAGTAAACAATAAGCATCACATATTCAGTGAAGTCATAGTAGTATTTTATTTTTGAAAATATATGTAAGGAAATCTGAGGGAGCCAGTTTGAACAGGCCTGATGGAGCTGATACCAGTACAGATTTCTTTAGCAAGTCCCACAGACCCCGGTGAAGTACAGGCAGCCTCAGCCAGTAAGAGCACAGCCAGAGGTGTACAGCCAGCATCAGATACAAACAGCTCAGACCCTGATGGAACAGTTGCTGCTCCAACGAGTGACCCAGCAGATTTTCCTCCAGTCTTAACAGGCTGAGTTAGTGTGCAGAG